AGCTTTATATAAAGCTTAGAAAACAGTTGAGCCATCTTATAAAAAGTGAGTTAGTCTAGTTTTGATTAATGAATCCAAAACTAACTGATTGACTGACAGTAGCAGACAAATTGAATAAATTATGCACTACTTATTAACTGTCTAACAAACATTTAAGGTTCATTTTATTTTTATGTTCCATCTCTTGTTTGTTTATAATAAAGCAGTATTTCAGTTCTTTCATTATGAGAAATTATTCTTAAAAAATCATATCTATGTACAGCAATAAGATAGTTATTTCCTACAGCCACAAAAACTGGGTATACATTCTTGATGAATCATTATCTTATATTTCACCTGTTGAGGCTTGTGATCAAAAGAAAGAGGAATAGCATTTCCTTTGTTGTCAGAAATCACTCCTCTAGAATCGCCCACATTTGCAACAATAAGATGGTTGTCATAAACCAAAGTCACTAAAGCAGTTGTTCCTGAAATATAAAAATATTATAACTTTAAGACATCAATATGTTGAAAAATTCAATAGAAACCCATTAAAGAAAACAAAAATCAACTTTCTTCTTTCATTATTATTACTAGCTGAGGGTGTCCATTAAGGAAACCTAAAATGTATACAGGACAGTGTTATATAATGTTCCCCTTCCTTCTTTCTTTCTTTTGTTATTAAATCTCTATTGAACTCATTAGATGGTTATTGCATATCCTGCTTTGTGGAAGGTAATAATTGATTCATTTAACTGATGAAGTACTTGTGTCCTTAAATTCAAAACCAGAAGTCTATAAAAGAGTGGAAATGGTATTAAAAAAGCCTTTTATGGGCAAAAATCCTAAAACAAAATAGCCCACACATACCATCAAACATTTTCTATCTACCAAGCCAAAAATTATGGTGTTTAGTTACCCTGAGGAGTGGAAGAAACAGCTCGGTTCAGTGTAGCCATAATGAACATAAAGCTTCACGGAAACCTTTGCTGTGGTGAAGCAACCAAAAGAAAAGGCTAGAGAATGGATACTGGAAATAAAACACTGGGATAAGCAAGCAGGCCTGACAGAGGGTGATGCTTACCAATGACTCCAGATGTTGAACAATTAGCAAATATTAATACACTTATCGCAGAGAAATACAGAGGTTCTAATACATGATGTCATTCTATTAAGAACATGCACGAGGGGTCAGAGATTTGTGTTTCAGGAGGATAATGATTCTAAGCATATGACAAACATGATGAAAACCTCCCAAGAGAGAAAACAAACATTAGAACTCTTGCCTAGGCCTTGGCTCAAATTTTATATCTGAATATCCATTGAGGTATTTTGGATGTGCATGAATAAAGAGGGAGTCAAGAGGCAACTAAGCAACCTGTGAAATTGTGTGACATGCTACAGGATATTTGAAAGAACATTTCATACACTTTCATTTATGATAATATGTTGGCCAGGTATCCTGATCTAAAGAGAACAAAGGGCTTACTCATCAAATACTAATGCATGCAGTTACATATTTGTATTTTGTCATTATGGTTCAGCCTATTGTAAGTCTGTAGAACTAACTGAACTCCTATTCTTATATTAAAAGAACCTTTCTCCTGTGATACATTATGTTTCATAAATGTGCCCATATTTATTTTTACTACTGTATATATATAAATAAAATCATAAACTACTACATACCGAGAACTTGAAAAATGTATACAAAAGGACATAAAAAAAAAAAAATGGACAAGGTTATAATTCTAGCACTAAATGTGACACACATTTTTGTAGTGACAACCAGAAAATAAAAACTTAATTCATATATATATATATATTTTGGGTGAACAATTATGAAAAAATTAGCACGATTATCTCTACTCTTAGGAATACCCATGGGCTGGATTAAATAGAAATTTCAAAATGTGTTGTAAGCTGAACTGATAAAGTTTTCCAGCTAGCCACAAATAATCCATGGATCATAGTTTCTCCACCTCTAAACTAAATGTAGCCCTTATCCAGTAAAAGTTTAAACAAACATTAAATAAATGCCACCAAGTAAACTTGTCAAAAATTTACAACCTTAAAACAGAAACTATTAATTATGATAATAAAAAACTTGAATCTAATGTGGGTTTCAAACTAATACTTACTATCCTCAATATTCTTGTGCCCATTTCCTTTTTTTTTGTCATAACACCACTCAAAGTAATTTCCCATATGTAGTTTCCACCTAAATCCCTAACAGTTCTAAATATCTGAATTAAGCTAGAGAAAACAAGTCAAATACTTTAAGCTTCACTTTATTGCTAAATTTCTTAACTAGAAATCATTCACATAGTTCTTTAATTGTGTTGTCTTTCTAGCACAACCATATCATTCCTATAATAAAGACAACAAAAATGAATATAGTACTCTTAAGTCTTCACCATAGTTTCATATATATATAGCTACAATAACTTTCTCACTCTTAAATTCAGTTTCTATAAAAAGATCATAAAATGCTTACTGCAGTTTGAGGTTACATTAGACAGTTGGGTAACATGAGACAACATGGCAACCTCCAGCTGTTGACCACATCTCAACAAGGTTATGAAAATTTACTATGGACTGCTTTGTTACATGTAAAAGTCAACTTTTGTAGTGGACAGTTTCAGTATATAGTGATATCAATTCAGATTGCATATTCTATGAATAATGACCATTTTAACTATGCTAACAAGTAACTACAAAAAAGATAAACTGAAACACTTCATCTAACAGAATAAGAGGTAGGGATTGTGTCACTATGCAACATTCCACTTTCCCTGCAATGCTTCTAAATACCTAGTGACAGCTTTTAGCATTAATTCTTAAGATTATTAGGTAACCTGTTGTATGAAAATTATGTTGACAGTGGGGTAATATGAAACAATATGGGAGGTTGCCCACCACCATTTTATAACCACTGGTTAGTAATGTTATGAAAGCTTGTTAGGGATTATTTGGTTAGAGGTAAAAGTCAACTTTCTAGTATACAATTTCAGTATATAACACAGGTATAGGAACTGGAGGCCAGAAGTGCCTCTCACCTGCTCCCCTCCTTTGATCTACCTTTGCTGGAGGCAGATAATATTTAACACTTGTTAATAATTTAAGGGCTATTGGCTACAACTTCTACTTCTTTAAAATATTACTAAAGATGAAGTATATTCAAGTAAAAGTGAGTTAACCTCAGAGCAATAATAATAGGAGATCCAACAATATATTTATTACAAATTAATTCTGAGGTTCTTCATCCTTGACAGAGTTTGAGAATGAAACAATCTTTAATCAAGCTCCCAAATATGATCACAACAATGTGTATAGGATGAAGGGCAGTGCCTTTATAGTTAACTATATAAATTCTCTCTCAATAACTTATGAATATGTTTAATAAGAATTAATTAACTTTACAAGTTAAAATTTGGGAGAACACTACTACTTACCAAGAAATTGCTTAAGTTCACTTATCAAACTGAAGGCTTAAGCTATAGAAAGCTAAACATGAGATCATAGTATTATATACCAGATTCTATAATAATATATTTTCAGGATGCATATGTCACTGTTGGTCAATCCTAATGAAACAACATAGGCTATAACTTCAAGATGACACCTGAACTACCACTGAAGAACATTACTGTCAAAATTCTTACATAACATACAGCATTACAACCATATCCTCCATAGACAGAACAGGTGTTATTGCCAGAGAATTACAAAGGTGCAAAGTCAGCTAGAATGAAATCAAATTAATGGCTTTCTTGACCACATGTTATGTGAAAATAGCACATACTTAGAAATTATGGATAAATTCAGAAAAATATATATTATTAATATAAGAAAGCAGAAACTTGTGATGTGTTTATATAACCATAGATATAGTATACCATAGATATGCATCAGATAAGCTTTAAAATTGTTTAAAGTGCAGGAGCTTCAGGGGTTTTTACCTAAGTGGCAACCACATCTTTGGCTCTTGTAGCCCCCCAGGTAATTTTTGTCTTCTACGTCTCTGTATAGAAATGCCAACAGCTTATACATTACACACTTTTATAGATTTTCAAGGAGAATTAGTTATACAGTGCATGTTTGTCATTTTTTGATAAAAGAAAAGTGTGTCTCAAGTTACCTCTGGGTTGTGAAAATTGCTCCAGCTATTTCTAAGGCAATGCTGTCTCAATTTCTCCTATAACTAAAGGCAGTAATTAATTTTAAAAGCTTTATTCAACCTTTTTGGTATGACCAGTTGGTTGTCACTCTTAAAAAACTGCTTACATAATTAAAAAAACTGAGGAAATTATATTCTTATTCATACAGTACCTTTTTAGTTCTTTAAAAAAAAAGTCAAGTGACCACAGCTTAAAGTATTACCTTTTTTAACCAAACACAGCCGAAAATTTGGATATTTTTCAATAATGGCAGCTAAATCCTTTCTCCACAGCAATTATTATTATTATTCTCATTATTATTTATATAAAATAGAACTACCACATTTCCATAGATCAGGTGCACAACTTTTAAATTTCTCAAATTTGACTTTGATTTGTTCACATTCTTGCTTATTGACTAAGACTAACCAGGTTTTCCTGAATTAAAGAAATATTTTAAAAAGAATGGGTGTTTCAGCATGTTGCTATCACCATAACTTTGAACATAAAAAAAATATATGAAACTAGAACCCTGAAGGTACTCATACTTCATCTTTTCCCACCTGGAAAAACATGCTTACTTACATATATCAATACCCTATACTTTCTGCCTCTAAGTCTATTTTCTACCATCTTTTTACCCAATTCATAAGAATCTCTACATTCATAGAAGTTAGGAAGACCTGAGCCCACTCAAAGTCCACTACCAATAGGAATATGCTTTTACCTGCCACACTTCTTGCTGCTTTGGCACGAGTAAGAAGTTGTTTATCAACTGAAAGTATTTCTTCAGTTATTAGACGGGAGAATACACTTGTTACAGAAATAGTTGAAACTGCAAATGAAGAATGTTGTCTGTTACTGTCTTTCTCCTCTTCTTCATCCTCATCATCATCCTTTTCAGTAGTTTTCTCTATTCTATCTGTCAGAAATTGGCTGATTTTGGAAATGCCTGGCTGTTGCAGGACATTCTGAAGTTTAGGTAGTAGGTTCTTGAAGAGATTTTCTTTTACAAATTCTGCAGCAGGCTGAACAAGTAAACATTTTTATTTATAACAGTATACACATATTAATAATGACTGAAATGATAAATGTTCCAAATTATCAAACATGTAAACTGAGCCTGACTGAAGCAAATTCAGAAAGCAACAACAAAGAAATAAGTTATAATGACAAAGTTTTAAGTACTAAATTAGTAGATTCTACTACAATGGTTCTGTGTGGAAGATGAGTTTTAAAATTGATAAGTGTAAAAGTGGGGTATGGAAATTTGAAAATGACTTAATAACATTTACTTATGATATAAGAGGAACATTCATGTTGTGGAAAAGTAAAAGATAAGAACCTAAAAATAAACGAAAAATCCAACTTGTTCCATCAAGGTTATACTCAACAAGTTCTTAATGACCTCATGGGCATTTAGACCACATCAAAGATTTTAAGTTATCTTATTTCAGTTAAAACAGAAAATATATTTAATGCAAAATCTTTTTGTCATCATTGTTTAACATATTAATTCAAACAACAAAAACAATACCTATTTACTTTTATGCTGCTGTCACAGAACATTTAAATAAGTGATTAATAAACTTGCACATTTCATGTACAAGATACTTGATAATTATTTTCTTCATTAAACATATTTTGCTTAAGCATCTGATAGCCTACATAATTACATACCTGTAACAGTTATTGCATGCCATATTATGGCTTAGTGAGGAAGAATAAAACAATATAGAATTGATTAATAATTAAAATTATTCAATAATTACTAAACATATACATAAAGGTTTTTGTTAGTGAGAATATACTGAAAAACTCTAAAATCTTATGAGAATGCAATATACATGTTACATGCCTTACAAATTGAAAGGAGTCAGAGCTCTCGCTGAAACCTATAGAAGATAGTACAGCTCAAACTTTAATCAAAACTGAAAACTTCAGCATTTAACTGGCATATTTAATAGGACACTTGTGATAGTTATGCAGTAAGATATCATATGAAGTGCAAATTAACAGCATAAAAACAAAACTGATGTTTCAAGTAAAGCCTATTCTGAAGCTGGACAATAAGCAGATGAGCATCTTGCTAGTTATAAATCTGAGGATGGGCCAATCATTGCTGCACAGTAACTATTAAAAACAGAATTTTTTATGTTGTTAATAAAATTGGAATCTAGATTTTTTTAGTTGCTCCATAATTATAATGCCAATTTTTAGATTCCTGCGGGACATTAAAGCAATATGAAATGTAGAACACAATGAACGTTAAAAAGATAGATGGATTTAGCTGTATCACTGTTCAACCCAAATGGAGCTAAGTTGATAGAAATTATTTAATGGTTGAACTTAAAAGTCTGGCTAAAATGCTCCAGAAACATCTGAACACTCTTGGAACAATGTGCTTTAATTTTTAAAAAACGTTTAAGCAGCAGTATATCCAAATGTCTGCACTGCTATCAGGGTGTTACTTATAGCTCCAGTGATGGAAAGGAGTTCCTTCAAAGTTAAAATTAATTAAAACATATCTGAGATTGTTTACATTTCAGGAGTATCCCAATAGTTAGCTTAACTGTCCTTCAAAAAGGATGTTGCAAGAAGATTGAATTTTGAGAAAGTTATTGAATAATTTGCAACAAGAACAATTAGAAAGTAACTTGCCATAACATAATAACTATATTAATATTTTATGTATGAAAATTTTATATTTCTATGTATATAAGACAGATTTCCCAATTTCATACAACATTAATGTACTGAAAAGGGTATATATGTACCTTGCACTTGGGAGCCTAGATTTTCTTTTGATAGCCCTTTCAACATGGAAACCAGTCTATTTTCAATGTAACCCTTCACATTCATGAAATTACCAAAAAAAATGTAAAACAATTCACACTACCAGCACACACACAACATCATTCAGCAAGTCATTCCATAAGTTAATATTTCTAACCTACCAGCACACACACAACATCATTCAGCAAGTCATTCCATAATTTAATATTTCTAACCAACCAGCACACACACACACAATATCATTCAGCAAGTCATTCCATAAGTTAATATTTCTAACCTACCAGCACACACACACACACAAAATCATTCAGC